AATGTAACGGGAGTTGACAGGGGACTCTGCCCGCCTCACGAGTGCCTATTTTCGGACACTTTTTTTCACTTTCCCCCCTATTTTCCCCGGTTTTATTATTATTATTATTTTTTGGCTATTTCACACGGTTTCTACCGGGGACATTGCCCGTCATCCATATATTAATGGATTTTGACATTTTTCTCCTCTCCTCTCCTCTCACTGATCGAATGGCAAACGCGACCCACTGTCAGAGGGCCTCCGCGCCGGCCCGGCCTAGTGCCGGTGCTCTGGCGGTCGGTTCCTCCGAACTGCGGGTTCGACTCTGATGGCCGGGAGAGTGTGCTGCGTTGGGGTGTCGGACCTCCCCCACTCTGCGTGTCTCTTCCTTCACGGGTCCCGCAGCGGGGTGGAGGTTCCCAGCTGGAACCTCCCCAGCTCCGCCGCGTATGTGTGTGGGTGTGTGTGTATATATATAGGGACACCTTGTATTGTAGTTAATATCAGTACAGTATCACTTTTCATCACTTAGATTGATTGAACTGTTCTGCCCTTACTGTATCCCTATGCGTAGTTAGTTAGACAGTTAGCTAACATTTAAAAGTCCTCCAATAAAGATGCAAGGTTTTCTTTCTTGACTTTACTGTTCTTCTTTTACTTTGTAAAACTGTAACAATACAGATATAAAACACATATAAGTATGCAGGCTTTACATAACATATAAGTAGCACTGTACAAACAACACACATCCTACTATTAGGGCATCACTATTCTAGCACACGTCAGAATCGTCACTTCCTGTACTGACAGTGGAGGTGTCCTGAGAGTGGAGGTCTGCAGGCAGACCCCTCTTATCGTTGTTTACTCAAAAACGGAAGTTAAGCTTACTCGTGACATTTCAGAGATCCCTTCCGGAATAGATTTTCAAAATAAACTTTAGCATCAGTCGAATGCTAAACCGTAAATGTTTTCACAATAAAACAGTTTACTGTATGTTTAAACCAAAATACATCATTAAGCATTGATTTTAATTTCTTACAACATGTCAGAAACAAAACATACAACAATAATAATAATATATATTCATTTTTTTCTCACTCAAAATAATAATAATAACAAAGTACAAAAAAATAATAATACAACAAAATAAATAATAATAATTCTCAAATAGTCTGTCATGTTCAACAATATTTATATAGCCTAATGTACAGTAAGCCGAGTCGAGCTGAACAACAAGAAAGGAACTGTCTCTGAAGTGTTCAAACTCTCTTGCAGAATAGTTGCTTTAGTATCACCATTAAAAGCTAATCCTCTTTATAGTATGTTTCTGTATCACAAACCTCAGTATAAAAATGTCTTTCAATTAAGGGAAAGCCAATTTTCCTGCAACTTGCTTTAAAAGAAACTTTCAAATAAAGCTTACATCACTTGATGAATTTCAGGGTCGAATTTAGGTGACAATTAAATAAAAAACAGAGCAGAAAATGCGTCTCCGAGAGTTGCATTTTAAAACCTGGGTCACAGCATCTGAAGACAGACCTTTTATTCTAGGGAATAATCGCCCCTGCTTCATGGGGATCAGGTGAGAGGTTACTGTTTTGCCGCACTAACTACGGGAAAGTATGTGTTTTTAACTTCTAATTACCAAGCACTGCATCAGTCAAACGCATCGACCGAGTGATACGATCCAACCTCCCACTGCGAGAAGCACTCTGGAGAGATTATAGGACTCAATGTATTTGCTTGAATTCAGAAAAGTTGTGTTATTTCATTAATATTTCAGCCGTATTTCAGTGGCTGAGGTCTCTGAATTATTCACACGGTGTTAGTTGGTGTGGGTGAGACCACACTGCTTAAAGAGGAATTAAGAGAGAGAGAGAGAGTCGGGCTCTGGCTTCAGTCCTTTGCTAACACATTAACCGATTAAATGTGTGTTTCATTTACGGTTTACAAGATGCCGCTCGAATCGGAAAGTGTCCACCAGGTACATTATCATTTAGCCTTGTTGTTTGCACCATAAAAAAGGGGGTTTATTTGATGCTTGCAAAAGTTTTAATGTAATTGAATTATTTCCAGCACAGATAATTAAACCTTTTTATGGAGCTGTACTCTTCAGAGTCATCGAGTTCTTCCAAAACTTAATGGCCAACAGAGGCATACATTGTGCTGTGATTATGTAATGGATTTGGACAAGATTTCGAGTATCAAGCATCAGCGTCTGAACAATATAGGTCCAGACTTAAGTATTTGAACAACTGATTGCTGTTACATTTGGTACAGATGATCCATAAGAATGCTATGTGGAGAATTTGAATGTCCTCAGATAATTCTTTATATATATCTAAAGCCATCATTAGGGCCAACATGTCCAACACTTATTGACTAAATAGTTGCAGCAGCCTCATCTGTACTTGTTAAATGTTGATTAGCTCACATGCTAGTATGCTAACATGCCATTTTTTATTTTGATCAGGCAACCCATTTTATAACTGTGTCCGTCTTACTTTTAACAAAACTTTATCAACACAAGCTTAAAGTCTTCGTCCAGATACCCTGATGAATCTTTCTCGTAGAATAGTGGATTGTAATTGCCAGTGTTCGCTGTGACCTGGAGCACAAATGACACGCTAATTATAAGTAATTTCCGCTCTGCACATTGAATAACTCGGCACAAACAAGCGCTCTTGTTCCAACCAACAATAGGAGAGTCAACAGTCGTTATGTCGCCAGATAACCGGGGGAATTGGACAGATATATGGGAAACACTGACGGTGTGCAAATACATTTTCACCAGCAGTTTTGACCGATGTGTGCAGGTAGAACAGAGGAGTATGCAGGAGCAAAGAGAAAGTGTTTTGCACAAGGACACAAAAGCAAAATAGCTGCTGAAATGAAGACTGAACGACCTTGACTGACTTGGAAAAGGTTTTGAATATTGATAGCACTTTTACAGTCTTCATTGCTTTGAAATGAAAAGATAAAAGGCTTCATATCATGTGTTTTTATTCCAAAAGGTGACTCTAACATTCAATAATAAAGAGATGGAACAAATGGCAGACTAACTCCTGCCTTAGAAAGCATATTTTATGTCTGAATCAAAATATATGCACATCTTCCTGAACCTATGGGAGCGAAAGGAAACCCATGTATAGCAGAATGAATGTGGTATTTTTCTAATCTTAGCCTAGATTTGCAAACACAAGCACCGGAGCCAAGAAATCATCAAAAGGTAAAAATAAAACTGCTCTTCTGTGCCGTCGGAGGAAAGAGACCAAGTTTTGTAGATACAGTGAACACGCTTGAGGAGTTTTTATGAGGACGAGTGCACATTTTCTGGTAAAAATAAAATCGAGGGGAGGTTTACTTAAAGGGGACCTATCATGCAAAATGCACTTTGTGATGTCTTTTATACATAAATATGTGTCCCCGGTGCGTCAGGGAACTCACGCAGCGTCAGAAAATAAAACCCTCTCTCTTTTCCTCCTAACCCAAATCTTTTAAAAACGGGTGTACAACGAGCGGATACAGATTCCATCTGCTGTGACGTGTCCATCATCCGCTGTGACGTGTCCATCATCCGCTGTGACGTGTCCATCATCCGCTGTGACGTGTCCATCATCCGCTGTGACGTGTCCATCATCCGCTGTGACGTGTCCATCCGCTGTGATGTGTCCATCATTCGCTGTGACGTGTCCATCATCCGCTGTGACGTGTCCATCATCCGCTGTGACGTGTCCATCCGCTGTGACGTGTCCATCCGCTGTGACGTGTCCATCATCCGCTGTGACGTGTCCATCATCCGCTGTGACGTGTCCATCATCCGCTGTGACGTGTCCATCATCCGCTGTGACGTGTCCATCATCCGCTGTGACATGTCCATCATCCACTGTGACGTGTCCATCCGCTGTGACGTGTCCATCATCCGCTGTGACGTGTCCATCATCCGCTGATACGTGTCCATCGCTGTGACGTGTCCATTCGCTGTGACGTGTCCATCCGCTGTGACGTGTCCATCATCCGCTGTGACGTGTCCATTATCCGCTGTGACGTATCCATCATCGCTGTGACGTGTCCATCCGCTGTGACGTGTCCATCCGCTGTGACGTGTCCATCATCCGCTGTGACGTGTCCATCATCCGCTGTGACGTGTCCATCATCCGCTGTGACGTGTCCATCATCCGCTGTGACGTGTCCATCCGCTGTGACGTGTCCATCCGCTGTGACGTGTCGTGTCCATCATCCGCTGTGACGTGTCCATCATCCGCTGTGACGTGTCCATCATCCGCTGTGACGTGTCCATCCGCTGTGACGTGTCCATCATCCGCTGTGACGTGTCCATCATCCGCTGTGACGTGTCCATCATCCGCTGTGACGTCGGCGGACCAACAGAGAGTTGCTATCAGAAACAATGCCTGACGTGTTTTGGACGTAATCTCGTCTTTGTTTACATTAGCAAGCCTCGCTAACACTCAGAGCTAACCTGTACTGGAGAGCACATGTGTTTAAAAAGCAGGAAATGAAAAAAGGAACTCACCTTGTGATAAATCCACAAGAGAAAAAGCATTTGAGCTCCATACTGTTTCAGAAATAATCCTTGATGTGGTTTAGAACAGGATGGCGTTTTATCACAGCAGAATTTAACTTTATTCTGATCAGGCATTAGCTCCGCCTCCTCTTCTTTCTTTTTTTCAAGCTAAGGACCCAAGATCCACGTTTCTCTAACAGGGCTGCAAAAGAGGTGTTTGAGCAGTATGAGGGATGGCTACAACGGGTGATCTGTTTGGTATTTTGAACAAAAAACTTCACATATATGTTTTGTATTATGGCCCTACAATATATGTTTCAAATATAGCATGATAGGTCCACTTTAAAGAAAGCTCTTTGGGATGGAGGAGCATTCACAGATTCTGAGGGTTTGAGATCATCAGCTCTCATTTAGCTCAATTCAAATGTTCTTATTTGCATGCTATGATAAATGATAAGCACCTGGATCGTAATTCAATGAATTGCTGCAAAGTANAACTAGTCCGGGTACAGGCAGGGTCAGGGAGCAGGCGAGGCAGAATAGTCCGGGTACGGTCAGGGAGCAGGCGAGGCAGACTAGTCCGGGTACAGGCAGGGTCAGGGAGCAGGCGAGGCAAACTAGTCCGGGTACAGGCAGGGTCAGGGAGCGGGCGAGGCAGAATAGTCCGGGTACAGGCAGGGTCAGGAAACAGGCGAGGCAGAATAGTCCGGGTACAGGCAGGGTCAGGAAACAGGCGAGGCAGAATAGTCCGG